AACAAGAGGCCGTTATGCATGAGCATGCGCGCAACCGCTGCGTTATAACGACCATGGGCTCTAGAATACGGGTAGAATAACATTGTAGTAGCTGCGGAAGCTTCGATTCTGAACATAATTGATGTTTTTACTTATCTTCCACATTTTTCCAAACAAAACCAAGTAGATATATTTACAATGCACACGAATATCTTTCAAACTTTATATAAATTACTGTGAGTCTCGGGCTAGATTTATAACACGAAGCCACTTTGTACCGTTAAAATGTAGTGAATTATTTGTGCACACCTTTAGCAATAATAAATTCCTAAGATGTGAATCGATTGCACTGCAATAGTTTATTTCATAACTTATAATGATACAGCTATAGAACTACACATAGATATTTATGATAACTTGATTCAAACAAGCTCAACTCTTCAGCCAAAAGAATGCTAAATCTGTCGTGAGTGCTCAACAGCACGTAAGAATTTGCAGAATTAACACCGTTCCACATTTTTCATAGACAAGAAAACATTATCAAACCATTTGCAAAGCATAAGTCTTGATATTGGTAGCCTTATTCTAATGAGTCCTGGTGGTATATAAAAGGAAAGTAGTATTTCATGTAACAGTTAATAATATTTAAGCGTAAATATTGTACACTTCAAGAAACTGTCTTTCGAACATTTCGAGGTCGATGTTACTAAACGATGCCTAATTATATTACTACATGTGTACATTTACCATTTACTTCATGACCTGCGTTGAATCTTGACCAGCACTCAGCAAAAACTGGAATAGTAGTGGTGTATATAAACCACTGCAGCCTCCATATTGTAAACACAAAATCATTAATATCAACATTTCTTAAATAAGATTTTAAACGGTCCCAATCAGTCGAATAACGCCAGTGTTTTTCCTCGTTGTAGGTTACACTATTTATGAGTGTTCTTGAGTCATGACAGAACATTTCAGGGTCAAAAACAGCCAAAAACATTTTTGGAAATTGCCCTTCGTGTCGTTGTAATTTCTAGCTTGAATGAATTTCAATGAATTTTCAACAGACTGGCGCATGCGCACGCCAAACGGCCCCTTGTTGATTTTTAGCGCAATCGTAGTTCAGCTTCAACTCGTCATAGAATTTTTTTCAAAAGATGGTTGAGAATTTGCAGCGACAATAAACTGCACATATGGTCATGGAGTTCGTGCCCTAAAGTCCTACTTGCATGAAAATGGCCTTATTTCAAAACTTCAAGCAATACAAATATATGACTCATATATATCTATTAAAAAAAATTGTGGACAAATTTTTGTTTTGGAACTATCTACGTGGGCTTCCTGTGACAATGGTGTTTCATTTTCACAATTTAGTCTTTGTTTGTAATAAGTCAAGACAGAATTAAGTTAATATGTTTATCAATTTATTACATCATAATTTTTTACCGAACTGAACTCTAAGTAAATTCTTTGGATACCATGTCTTTCTCAGTTTTCCAAAATAACTAGCTCGACTTTACGCTCAAGAGCGTCTATATTATTCAAAATATCTGATAGGTCATATAGGTTACATAAACAATAGAAACGGTACAGTCTTAGCAGTATAACTTTGAATAATATTTTGATCATTTTAATCATGTATCTGTATCTTGTGTTTCTGTTCTTTTTTATTTGGTGTTTTTCATTAATTTGTAAATCTGGCGTTCTGTGCCATCATAAAGGTGTACCTTAGCCTTCTAATGACAGTTCATATTTTTGGATTTGTCTAAGTTTTTCAAGTTAAACAATCATCAAAAGAAACAATAGAGAATTAAAATGCTTCATACACAATATAGATTTTGCATACAGAGTTCAGTAAAGCTCACACGTGCAGTTTTCCGAACTTCAAACACATCGTTAGTTTAGAAAATGGCATCAATATTTTTCAGATGAGGTTTGATATGCTTTCTTCCATCGAATGACTGTTTTCTGTCAAAGTATGAACCTTAAATATCCATGTGATTTCTTATTTTTGAAGATTTTGTCTTTGACATAGAGCACTTGTGTGACGAAGAAGTAGTGCTCTTCGAGTCGGCGGTAGAAAATGCCCAGTCATTTCTGCACGAATCATCCGCTAATCTTGAATTATATACCTCAATCCATGTCGTTTGGATGGTAATCAGTTGATTTTGTAATATTTTCAGCTCTTTAGAGCATTTTAGCTACATTTTAGAACCATTTGAAACGAGACAACTTTTTGCCGCCGTCTGTCAGCCATTTTGTTTTCATTCTGAGACTGCAGTCCATCTGCAACGCAGGCGCTACCAAAAATCGCTGATTGGTTTATTTTGACATCTCCATGGAAACTAAGACTGCAACGCATGCGCTATCGATGCGCTACCAATTTGAAGCGTAATATTCACCACCACGACGACCACGACAAAATCGCCAGTTGCATTTTTAGACGTGGACTTCCACAGGAAGCCCACGTAATTATCCCACATCAGAGAAATCTTGATTCAGAAGATGGAAGAACAAAAGGATGGAGTATAAGTGATCTGACGTCATCTACTCCGACATTTTGTGCCTAAATCTTAAGGATTTGTATCAATATCTTCCTGAAATCTGTTGCGTCATGATTATAAGACCCATATGGATAGGTCTATTTGGTTTCCCAATCTTTTCTAATGTTTCGCAATTTTCGACCAAGTAGTCCTTTAAACTATTCAGTAAGGAAACTCCGAAATCTCTTTTACGTAGCCCAAGTAGCTTCAATCCATGAATTATTTTTTGTCTTCTTTACACACACGTATTGTTTGCATTACAATAGGGAATTACTGAATAAAAAATCACATTATACACTTTCGAGGTTGAGGCTGCCCACAAAATATCTCGAAACTGAAATTGTATTGTAATGCGTTACGAATTCACTAACTAGACTTTCGTTTCCGAAAGTATTGTGAGACTCGACGACAGGAGGATAGAGTCGGCAACTTCTGTTCTTCTAAATATTAAAAATGTTCAAATATGATTTTCTTTGTGGCAATGGGATTGTGAACAGACTGGTTTTGACATTCCTGAACAGCTAACACGAACAAATTCCTCTTTTTTTTGTACACCAATTTGCGGAATGTGGATCCTTTAGCCCCTTCAAAAGTTTTTCCTATACTGGAATGTGCTTATATTAGGAGCTTGTTTGTGAGAAAATAGAAATACTAAATACATTGCCTAAAAAAATGATTTATTCCGGTATACTACCATAGTCAATCATCAATGATAAAAGTTTATAAAAAGACCATTGTTACTGACATGAGTGCAGATCTAACATCCCACGCACTCACATGCCACAAGCCGTTTCTGAAATAACATAACGCATTTTAATTTTTATTACAAAAATCTTTTGTTGATATGGACAAATATGGTAGAGTGCACGTCACATAAGCATGAAACAATTCTTAATATGTATTGCTAAATAAGATTTAGTTATCAACTWACTAAGAATTCAACAAAGCATAAACACAATGCCAATTATTTACATTCCTTTGTAGCATWGTTCTCAAWTATTCTTAGTTAGTTGATAACTAAATCTTATTTAGCACTACATAGTTAAGAATTGTTTCATGCTTATGTGACAATAGAGTTATTGTTTCTAATGAAGCTAGACCACAATACASTATGTTCTTTTTAGAAACGGTCTATTGGGAGAGGGACATTCAYTGGGGAAACAGGAAAACCTGACACTCCTGAAAACTACTTTGCAAGCCTAAAAATTTTTGAACCGCACGTGCGCAAAGTAATATAACGTCCCGTGAAGTGAGTTAATTTTTTTACAAAAGAGACAAGACTTCGTACTCATTGACCATTCTCTTTACCCATTTCTCGTTAGACTCTCTTCTCGGTCTGTAACGCTTTATGACAGAAAATACAAGATAACTTTCTTGGTCATATTCAGATATTGGCATCACGCATTCCACTAGTCCATCGTGTCCTTTTGTAGAAACTGCTGGTCTCGTTGTTMGTCGTCTTGACTTTGCCTTTTTATCAAACTCAAAAAATTCCTCAAAGCTCAAGAATTCCTGAGAATTCGAACTTGTGGAAGAGTTGAATACACCCGTCATGCATTTCAAATCAAATGGATTGGAAATACTTGMAGATAAGTCGAGTCCATCTGGGATTTCATCATCTCCATAGTAACCAGAAGAAAAGCTTTCGGACGAAGATATGACGTCATTCAAGTCCAGACTACAAAATGAGTTGTCACTGACTTCATAGGTATTTTGGGAGTTATTTAGGGAATAATCAGAAATGTTGTTATGACAATGGTCATAACGCTCGTTGGTCATTGCCAAGACAATGATGTGATTGACATCATCGCGATCTTTGCGTTCGAGGACAGATTCAATCTCTTTTGGAGTGAAGTGAGTTTGTAGGAAGAGATGCAAATGAGCGTTGCAGAGTAATTCTTCATCTTTTATTGTCCTAAAAATATGAAGAAAAAGCATTATTATGCAGTCATCATGAAATATATTTCTCTCTTTCAAAAAGTTGTTTTGTTTTTTTCACTAGTTCGAGGTTTCTCTATATATTGGAAGGGAAAAAAAAGCTTTTCTACGACATAATTCGCTTTTATATATGATTATCTGATAAAAATAATATTACATGGTCACTTTCCAAGACTCGAAGATAAAATCCATACGCGCCCATGTAATATCCTCTATTGAATCTATGTCATAAGGTCAGATCCTTTATGTGTGGAATGTGCAAAATCAGAAGTACTGCAAATAAACAATTATATGATGCTGAAAGAATAGTTTTATCATTTATTCACCTTTCCATGTATTCTTGTAATCGTTGTTGACGACTTAAAATAAATTCGACAGAAAAACGCCTGAAGAATTTTTTAGATGGAAGAGGAGGCAAACACCTGTGAAAAAGGAATATATTTAGTTACAAGTGCATGAAAAGTGCAAATTCTATAAACGACAATCTTTCCTTGTGACTATGAGAATGATGTATATGTAAGTTTTAACAAGCGCCATTCTGAAAGCAGAGACCTTTCGTAGAATAGCGCYCACATCTCTCAGTAAATCTGAGGACCAGGCCCTGATCTTAGAGCTTTAAACATACGCGAACAAAATGAGACACCACGAATTATCACRTTCATTTCCCCTCTCTCCTGTTCAATGTTGATTCRGGTACTGCAATAAGACAGAAGCATACCCCAAACCACGGACAGAGAACTCTCGTGGAGGGGTGGGGGCTCATTTATAGGTAACCCGATTATTTTGTGGAAGATTGTTGACAGTGAGAGGAGTGCAAATTTTATCGTAACATGACTTACCTGTCTTTTGTTTCTTCTCTTAGTTTTTTATCCAGCCATACGAACTCTGAGTACCGTCTGCGCACACTCGAGTAGCTTAAAGCCATAATGACCGAGTTTGGAGCCTATGAAAAAGAGATTGTGCATCATGTAAACTTCAACAAACGCTGTCGGACTCACATACACATGCTGTCATCACTTTTTACCAGTGTAGATGAATTTGCATGTATNCCTGCCATTATGTACCGGTGGATTGATCCAAAGAACGGCAGTCCGTTAGGTCCTGGTATGTCTATAAAAGGACGAACATTGCTTTCTGTAATATTTTGTGACGACTGTTTGAGTGGAACGGTTGACTGAGTACGAAGGACTTGAACAACAGGAAACGACATACGACGTGTTAATATAAACCTGGACATCTGCAGCATCTTTTTTTGCGTTAGTTTTGGCTTAAATACTTTTTTTGGCCGATTGATTTTATGGGGTGTCGTTAAGTAAGTCTCAAAGACCGATATCTCTTGATCGCGGATCTTGTGAGCTTTTGATTGTCTGAATTTTTTAGCCTGTAGTTTCTTTGTTTTTTAGCTTTTGTCCAAAGCAGTCAATTATTAATGTATTACGTAATATGTTGTTGTCACGAATGTCATATAGGTTATTTTCGATATTTCCACACAGGGGGCCCAGGCTCAACAGTTGTGTTGTTTTCACGGCGGTGTCAAAGTATTAATTACGGGGTTCGCGGTTCGAGCCCTCATGAAGCCGTAAATTTTTTCTACTTCATTTCTTGAGACTTTTCAAGACTTTCTTTTTCTTTTCTTTTTTCTTTAATTACTATAAACAGTTTTATGAATAAAGATTGATTTTTAAAGCCATTTTAATATTTTTCCCCCCTCGTACATAAAAATTTTCACAATGTGGATCCTTTAGCCCCTTCAAAAGTTTTTCCTATACTGGAATGTGCTTATATTAGGAGCTTGTTTGTGAGAAAATAGAAATACTAAATACATTGCCTAAAAAAATGATTTATTCCGGTATACTACCATAGTCAATCATCAATGATAAAAGTTTATAAAAAGACCATTGTTACTGACATGAGTGCAGATCTAACATCCCACGCACTCACATGCCACAAGCCGTTTCTGAAATAACATAACGCATTTTAATTTTTATTACAAAAATCTTTTGTTGATATGGACAAATATGGTAGAGTGCACGTCACATAAGCATGAAACAATTCTTAATATGTATTGCTAAATAAGATTTAGTTATCAACTWACTAAGAATTCAACAAAGCATAAACACAATGCCAATTATTTACATTCCTTTGTAGCATWGTTCTCAAWTATTCTTAGTTAGTTGATAACTAAATCTTATTTAGCACTACATAGTTAAGAATTGTTTCATGCTTATGTGACAATAGAGTTATTGTTTCTAATGAAGCTAGACCACAATACASTATGTTCTTTTTAGAAACGGTCTATTGGGAGAGGGACATTCAYTGGGGAAACAGGAAAACCTGACACTCCTGAAAACTACTTTGCAAGCCTAAAAATTTTTGAACCGCACGTGCGCAAAGTAATATAACGTCCCGTGAAGTGAGTTAATTTTTTTACAAAAGAGACAAGACTTCGTACTCATTGACCATTCTCTTTACCCATTTCTCGTTAGACTCTCTTCTCGGTCTGTAACGCTTTATGACAGAAAATACAAGATAACTTTCTTGGTCATATTCAGATATTGGCATCACGCATTCCACTAGTCCATCGTGTCCTTTTGTAGAAACTGCTGGTCTCGTTGTTMGTCGTCTTGACTTTGCCTTTTTATCAAACTCAAAAAATTCCTCAAAGCTCAAGAATTCCTGAGAATTCGAACTTGTGGAAGAGTTGAATACACCCGTCATGCATTTCAAATCAAATGGATTGGAAATACTTGMAGATAAGTCGAGTCCATCTGGGATTTCATCATCTCCATAGTAACCAGAAGAAAAGCTTTCGGACGAAGATATGACGTCATTCAAGTCCAGACTACAAAATGAGTTGTCACTGACTTCATAGGTATTTTGGGAGTTATTTAGGGAATAATCAGAAATGTTGTTATGACAATGGTCATAACGCTCGTTGGTCATTGCCAAGACAATGATGTGATTGACATCATCGCGATCTTTGCGTTCGAGGACAGATTCAATCTCTTTTGGAGTGAAGTGAGTTTGTAGGAAGAGATGCAAATGAGCGTTGCAGAGTAATTCTTCATCTTTTATTGTCCTAAAAATATGAAGAAAAAGCATTATTATGCAGTCATCATGAAATATATTTCTCTCTTTCAAAAAGTTGTTTTGTTTTTTTCACTAGTTCGAGGTTTCTCTATATATTGGAAGGGAAAAAAAAGCTTTTCTACGACATAATTCGCTTTTATATATGATTATCTGATAAAAATAATATTACATGGTCACTTTCCAAGACTCGAAGATAAAATCCATACGCGCCCATGTAATATCCTCTATTGAATCTATGTCATAAGGTCAGATCCTTTATGTGTGGAATGTGCAAAATCAGAAGTACTGCAAATAAACAATTATATGATGCTGAAAGAATAGTTTTATCATTTATTCACCTTTCCATGTATTCTTGTAATCGTTGTTGACGACTTAAAATAAATTCGACAGAAAAACGCCTGAAGAATTTTTTAGATGGAAGAGGAGGCAAACACCTGTGAAAATGGAATATATTTAGTTACAAGTGCATGAAAAGTGCAAATTCTATAAACGACAATCTTTCCTTGTGACTATGAGAATGATGTATATGTAAGTTTTAACAAGCGCCATTCTGAAAGCAGAGACCTTTCGTAGAATAGCGCTCACATCTCTCAGTAAATCTGAGGACCAGGCCCTGATCTTAGAGCTTTAAACATACGCGAACAAAATGAGACACCACGAATTATCACRTTCATTTCCCCTCTCTCCTGTTCAATGTTGATTCRGGTACTGCAATAAGACAGAAGCATACCCCAAACCACGGACAGAGAACTCTCGTGGAGGGGTGGGGGCTCATTTATAGGTAACCCGATTATTTTGTGGAAGATTGTTGACAGTGAGAGGAGTGCAAATTTTATCGTAACATGACTTACCTGTCTTTTGTTTCTTCTCTTAGTTTTTTATCCAGCCATACGAACTCTGAGTACCGTCTGCGYACACTCGAGTAGCTTAAAGCCATAATGACCGAGTTTGGAGCCTATGAAAAAGAGATTGTGCATCATGTAAACTTCAACAAACGCTGTCGGACTCACATACACATGCTGTCATCACTTTTTACCAGTGTAGATGAATTTGCATGTATKTCAACTTAACATATGCCGCCCGTTTTAAGAACACGTTTGCAGAATAGTCTCCTTCACGGTTACCTGCGCCATCTTGAAAGGTAGCCGTGCCTTGTCATCGAATCGAGACAACCGTTGAGCGTGCAATGATAGAAACCTTCTTTCACACCTATAGACAATTATTCACAGGTATCTATCATTGCACGCTCAACGGTCGTCTCGCTTCGGTGCAAAGGCACGGCTACCTTTCAAGATGGCGAAGGTATCCGTAAAGGAGACTATTGCAGAACTCGCTTGTGATTTCAAAATGAATATAATTAAACTTTTAATAACGACTAGATCTTGCCTTGACTTCRATCCTGTAATGAGTATACTCCGCCTTTCCTTTGGAGACAAGCGTCATGGGATCAAGAACTTTGATCTGGATCGTCTTGATCAAAATAAAATATATCAAATAAAATATACCCCGAGGGAGTTGTACTGTACTCTGGTAAAGTTAAGTGTTAATAATATTGTAAAAATGATACCTCTTTTTGCCTGCCTGTGATGTCATTTGAGAGTCTTCTTAGTTTTGTTGGTGACGTGTTCCCCCAGAATCCCCTTTGTTGTAAATCAATTGAAGAAAACGGTGGATTCATTCTACTCGGGGAAAAAATAGGCAGTAAAGGACTACATGTTACTCCGGGTACTAAGCGATATCGCATAATACAGTAAAGGCAAAATAGAAAAAAAAAAGAAACATATAGCTGTAAGTAGTCTCCTGCTACAACGAAGGACTGACTCTGCTAGCAGAGAAAACAAGTGAAAGAGTGAAGTCAAAAAACCCGTGAAATAGTTATTACACAAATTATACTATTAAGGCCCGTTTACACTTGCGATTTTTGCAGAGCGATTCTCGTGGCGATCGTCGCCCGACCATCGGCCGACCATCGCCCGACCATCGCCCGACCATCGCCCGACCATCGCCCGACCATCGCCCGACCATCGCCTAAGTTTCGAACATCCCCTTGAAAATTGACTGCAGCTTCGCGCGGCGATTTTCCGCCGCAACAATCGCAGCTGTTTAGAGACGTACGATTTTAGTTGTGCGATAACTATCGCGAGACAATTACGCTGCACAAATCGTAAGTGTAAACGAGAAAGAGAAATTAGATTGAATGGGACGCATTTTGAAAAGTAATTAAATAAAAAGCAGCGTTCACTTTGAAGATGAAACTATTAATCTATTTTTTTATTTATCCTCGACTCGTTTGTAACATCCTGATTACGAAACTGGTGAATATGATCTCAATCACTTTTTTTCAAGTGGATTTAAGAGTTTACAAATACACTGAGTAAACATACAACTTTTATCTTGTAAATTTACCACAACCAATTTTCATCTCACAGTGGCTAGACACCGGTAATTGCTGGTACTGTGAACGAGAAATARCCTGCTTCCGTATATACACTACAGTGCCGCGATGTCAAAATATTCTATTGTCAAAGGCGACGCCATAGCTCATTCCAAACCAGAATACAGCGTAAATTAGTCAGAGCAAAAGRCAAACATCATTTGAGTGAATATAATACTATTTAACTATGGCGCAAACCATAACTTTAATTACCTTTAGTTTGATTTGTTGGAAATTATTTTGATAGAGCATCAAGAGCTAGTGAAGRCAYGTTTAGCAACAGATACAATACAATGTTGGGTTTGCCCAATAAATCAAAAATATTGTCAAAAGTTCTCTAAAATTAAATCGTTATTTTTCATAGTCAGATAAAGCTCAGTTAAATTTCTCGTTTGTCTAGGAATGGCTATGCATTGGATCTTACCTTGGAAATAAATGTCATGCATTAATCCTGCSTKTTGTCTTCTCCGAGTTGTCTTCTTTTTTAATCACCACAAAACTCCTCCCCAGACCTTCATCACAGACGAAGTGGTATCAAATGGTCTTTGCGAACATCTGATTGGTATGTTTGGTTGTTCTTCCTCCAAAAGCAGATGGGTAATTGATGTAAAATTACATTTACACATATAACGAGCAGTCTTCCGTAAATAAGTAATATGGGTTTCAATATTACGATAAATATGTAGAAGCAATTCTTTTTTTTTTTTTTTTTGGTCGTTTATACAGCACACAAATAACGAATATCTTTCCGTCTGCAAAATATATTTGTATAAAAGCAATCTAAAAGGGCTATATATAAAATGGAGAGAAAGAATGATAGAATGGTTATTAGCGCTCGCGTGCATTTTATAGAAGAGGATGACGTTGTGTTGGAATTTCAAGCCGGTTTTTAAACAAATGCATCTCAAGGTTTTGCAGTTCCTCGATTTTATTATCATTTGATTTGGTTCTTCATTTCAAAATGGCGTCCCATGACTCAGCAATCAGTGGACTGTAAACTGAAGGCTGCCTAAAATTTAGAATGAAATTTACAACAATATATTTGCTTKTACAAGAATTGTGAATACCGCAGTGAAATAATGATAATCTGAGTAATTATTAATAAAAGTATCCCCTGAAAAAATCTYGGGCTTCAACGGGAATCGTTCCCATGACCTCSGACTCGGTATAAGTATACAGACCAAGCAGTCACGCTGTACTGTTGTGAYATTTTCTGAATTGGCGTCAGTGATACCGAGCTCGCAGCTCCAAAGAATATTTTGCAATTGATTGGCTCAACCCAGATTGAAAAGAAGAACGAAGCATRAACAATAGAGCCTATTGTTCTTTCCAACCAATCACAATGAATTTTCTTTAGAAAGGCAAATGAAAACGGTGCCTTGGTTTCGCCGTGTATCATCGTGACCACGAAAWTTGCTCTGTGTTTCCTACGTTTCTAACTCTTGTTAACGTCATCGTTAGATAAATATATAAAAAACCTCCACTTCAAAGATATTGTGTAAAATAATGCATGGTTCGTTTGTGAACTTAATTTTCGCAGTACCAATTGAATCACCTCTCTGTTATTAGTGCAAGAGTAATTATTTTAGTCATTTTGGAGGCCACAACCTTGCCGTGTCTTCTCGCGCTTGGTTTCTAGGCTCCACTAAATGACAACTTTGTTTTTCAAAGCACATATTTACCTTAAACTACGTTCCATTTGACATTTAAACATTTTACCTTTTTAAAGCTCCCTAAAGCTTTTGATTACAGAAAAGAGGGACTTAATATGACTGACACTCTYAAATTATGCTCCCAAAGGTGCCGTTAGTAAAGCAAAAGTTTGCAGGGCATGTTATTATATATATTTAAAAGAAAAAGACAGTTATCTAGTTTTTTCGTGTAGGCTAGTTGTCAGGTTTYCTCTTTTTCTCTCAGCAGCATTGCTATTTCCCACGTTAATATGATAMCATAATATCCGCTGAGACACCACAAGCTATTGTTAAAAGGAAGGCAACATACCACTGAATAAACTCTAGCCGTTATACAGTCTAAGTGTTCTGTAATCCATAGTCTGACCTTGAATAGCCAACGCCATGATCTTCCTGTAAGGGAAGCCACAGGTAACCCAAGCTTATTATTTGTGAATTCCATGCAAAATAATGTATGGGTTATTTGCAGATGACAGTTTTTCTTGCCTTGAAGTGCCATATGCCAAAATGAAATCATAGCATGTTTCAGGAGGCCATTACTCCTGCATGTTTACAGCTCTGGGAATAAATGTGGAAATTGGGACCTATTTATTTATGAAAAACATCAATTTAAGCAGATGCGTTAATAGCTCAGACAGTTCAGCTATCCTCTGTGGCTTAGAAAGCTTAGATGGTACAGTACTACACTAGTATTACGAAGTCATGGGCTCGATTTCCGATCTGATCCTGAATTCTTTTCCAGTTAAATAAGTTGATTTACGCATTTCAATCTTCATTTCCTACAAATACTGATATGTAAGCACAGCTATATAAAAAAAAAAAACGTTGGATAATGCATCAGCGCATTCCAAGACCGCAATGCATTATTTGTATTAAGCACTTTTCAACGTCATATCAAACTTATTGCCATACATCGGGAGACATTTGCTTAGATGTCTTAGATTAGATCTTTTGATATGTTATAAATGATTTGGATGAAAAAGCACAAATACGGCTTTTTTTTGAAAGACTATATAGGTTTATCGGTCATTAGAAAAGCTTTAAAAAGAATATACCGGATTTTTGCTCTCCGAAACCCTGGGACTCTTCAATAGCTTTCACTTCAATAACCTTCACAAGAATAATCAAAACCACAGCATATACAATACTCGTAAAGCCATTTTTACAAAGGTATTTTTTCAGAACGATAGATCTATGACATATCAAAATGCACCAAATTTCATATTTGAATTTGGCGGTAGGTTTTTCATAACTAAATAAACTTATGCACGAGGCCCAGTTTTTTGAAGCGARCCGTGTTACTCTGGAGAACAACAGGCATAAATCGCTCAAAATTCAAGTAATTGGCCTGAATTCACAGAAATGTAAAGACAGACACTTGTCTATTGAATACACAGTTAGAGAAGTTTATTTTTGTTATATTTTAAATATTTCTAAAAAGTACATAAAATGTCTAGCATGGGCTACCTGTGATCGCCTGGCTATTTTGATGCTCAACTCAAACTCTTAAGTCGCAAAGGCGAAAATAGATACTTGGATTTTCAAATTTTTTCACGATGAACACACAGAAAGGTCACATATATGCTTTTATTTCTTAAATTCGATGGTGGGTTTTTCATTAACTAAATAAGTTATGCACTAGAGGCCTAGTTTTTTGAAGCGAACCGTGTTCAAAACATGGATCGCCAGTCTATTTTGATGCTCAACTCCAACTCTTCAAAGGCGAAAATACATATTTGTATTTTCAAATTTTCTCACGAAAAATACACAGGAAGGTCACATATATTTGTTATTTCTTAAATTCGGTGGTGGGTTTTTTTTAGGATTGTCTTTAATATCATTTGCATTTCTTCAAAAAGTTTTATACGGATGCAAATGCAACTGGACAAAAGGCTTTTTTTGAAACGTACGYAGGCAATTAATGTAGACCGACAGCTGTCGGATAGGGAAAAAAAAGCGAGAATAATTCAAGGTAACTGGAAATAACTCAACTGTTTTTAAAAAGTGCTGCTTGCATGAAAACGCCCTARCCTTACAACTTCGCAAGTAAATTTRAACATTTGACGAACAATATATGACTCATTTATTACCTATTAAAAAAACTTGTCAGGAAAATGTTTTTGGATTTCTCTCTAAACAATAACCCGTTTAAGTAAGAATGAATTTAAYATACAAGCCAAAAAACTATTAAAAAATAAATCTGTTTCACTGATTCCTGTTTTTATACCTTCAAATTTCAAATACGACACCTATTATTTTGAATTATCTTTAAAATRAAAATATATATATAACTTCTTGGATGTTTTCCAGTCAGCATTTCGATAAAATGAAAGATGTTTCAGTTATTACAATGCTGAGTCATAATTGAAATGCACAGGTTATAATAATTACTAAAAACACAATATAGTAGTTACATTCGTTAACTGGACATTATCTGGTTTCCTGTGAATGATTTTAAGCTTTGTATTGCAAAGAAACTCATTTAATATAAACATAATCAAAGGAAWGTTTACATGTCTCGTAAGTTCATTAATCCAGACCGTACCAAGTGAATGTTGACGAACATGCTACTCTAATATGAACTTTCTAACGATAAGAAACGTTACTGATTATAACTGCGGGCTGTATGCTCCTCTCACGTCCATGCAAAATGTCCGTGCATAAGGAGTATTGAYGATGAAAGTGCCTTCATTAATGCTTTCGCACAAGTATATTTGTTAAACAAATAACGTCGGTGGAGATAAAATGAGTTTGATTCATAACATATCTTYATTCAATCAGTCGTATATTCAGCAAAGCAAATCCAYCWTTATTTYAAATTCTCACAGTTCCTACTTGCTATGGCAAATAACTCTTCTAATGTCGTGGTTCGTTCTAGTACACCTKGTGTCTGCTTTTTGTCCATRCCAGATTTTGACCCTCATAACATGAACCGTCCAGATTCAGTTCACCCGACTTGGACTTTTCTTATTACTGTCAATGGTCTTGCTGCCCCACCKACAATCGTCGTTAACGCCCTTGTCATATGGGCTGTGATGTGGGATGAAAGTCTCAGATCTTCTCCTTTTAACGTTTTGCTTGCCTCTCTAGCAGTAACTGATTTCCTTGTAGGATTTCTAGTCGAGCCGCTGTATTGTCTCTTTCATGGATGTCTTCTGAACAATTGTCTTTTTCCTGACTGTACATTTACTGCGTACACTTTGTCTTTCTTGGTGTGCGTAGGTTTAACACTAAACAGCCTTGCCATTGCAAGTATTGAGCGGTATTTAGCCATTGAACACCCGATCTTTTATCTCCAACAATCACAATCATTTTCTGGATAATAACCCTAGTATGTGTGTTGCTTCCTGGCATCACATTAAATCAAATCCACCCTGACCTATTTTTAAATGTCATTTAAATAGGTCAAAAGTTCCAGCCGCGTCAGCCGCTGCCATTCTGGGAGTGGTGGGTTATATTGTACTGCACATCTAAAGTACAGCTAACAGCTTACCGTCAGAGTAGAATCATCGCCCTGCAGCAAGAATCAGTTCAGCAACCCGACGAACGGCAACAACAAGAACAACGACTCCAGGAATACAAGCGAGTGTTCACGATGACCATGTTAGTGGCTTTGTCGATTCTCTTTTACATTCCTCCTATTATTGTTGCAGTGATACAAGTCTTGATGGTTGAAGATGAAACGAGCGACTTTCCGTACCTTGCAATGTCTATATGTACGACATTTGCACATCTCTAATCTCTCATCAACCCAATCATCATGTCACTGCAGCTGTCCTACATTCGCCAAGCCATCAAGAACAAGGTACATAGCCTTTTACACAGGCATGAAACTGATTAAGTACATTGCTGTACATGTATATATATATCGAACACTTTAAAAACTCTATTTGCTATCACATTATTGCAGTCAATTTCCATGACTACTTGTTGATYTGTATC